ACATAGACAGAGGGAGACATAGAGAGAGAGAGAGAGAGAGAGAGAGAGAGAGAGAGAGAGAGAGAGAGAGAAGAGGTCGAATTTACGCAGACCAACCCACCCTGCAATCCTAGCAGACTTATCTGGGGTCCAACCCCCTGACAAGAATGGCAATAAGTCCGAGAAAAGTAAACAGTCTGTCACAGCCATAAAACCCACCGACTGACCCAGGGATATCCACCGGCATGACCTCGTGTAAGGTCCCGACCCCAGACGCATCAAGCCTGCTTAACGCAGAGCTAGCAAGGTGGTGTTGCGTATTGTCATGTTCGATGTACGCAACTCCACAAAACCCGCACGACTACGCCAGACTGTTTCCTGTGTCATCCTTGCACAGGGGCTATCCTAATCGTCTTTGTATGGTTCACACATCTTAAGGGATGTCCAAAGGGACAGGAAGGGGCTATCCTAATCGTCTTTGTATGGTTCACACGTCTCAAGGGATGTCCAAAGGCACAGGAAGGGACAGTCAGGTTGACAGTGTTCTTCACCCCTCTGACTTCTGCACGAGAGACAGAGAACAAATGGCGGTTGGTTGAAGGGTGTTGTTGAGATGTCGGTTCTGGACTTGGGAGGGCGGTCCGCACCTGGTCAAATCAGATTGGAATTTTGAACTCATGACCTTAAACGCTACTTGGTTTCCAAAATCAGGCAAAGACTGATGCGTGTCTGCTGATTGCTTTTTCTTCTTCTTCTTCTTCTTCTTTTTGTGTGTGTGTGTCTGATGATTGCTAACAGTGGCAATAGTAGTAGCAATAATAGACACCCAACATCGAGCAAAAAATTGGGTCCCCATGAATGAAAATAGACTCGACGCTTAAAGTCTTTAAAGAGCTCAAATTGACCCACCATAAACAGGGGCTCAGTTTATTGCCCCATGTTGGAGGCCGATTGCTTAAATTACGGTGGGATGAGGTGGGTTAATAATTTAATATAAGCTCAAGCCCTGTACAGCACTTCTTCCTCCTTTTCCTTTTCCGTTGAGAAAACGCCCTGGATGTTTCTTACGCTTCTTGTGTGCTTTGATTCTAGTTTGATATGTAATGCCTGCCTCACAGAGTCACAGGCAATGTCTTTTTATATATTCTATTTGTGACGATATATATAGCTTCTCCATGAATGTAAACAAACAACAATGACACATTCATTTCCAAAGACTGGATATGAAAAGAACACTGCATGCTCCACTGTGAACAGGGAGGGCACGGAGGGGAGAGAAGGGTGAGGGTGGGAGGGGGTGTTGGGGGGGGGGGGGGGGGTCAGAGTCACTGCACAAGTTTGGGGATATGGTATGATGTACTCACTTGGCACTCACTACAGGGCTCTGCAGCTTCCGCCGCTCGACAAACAAGCGTCTATGCAGCTCATTCGTAAACAAAGTGTTGCACACTGCATCACCTCGATGACGGAAAGCGTTGCACAATTTATCATGAATGAATTAATTAATAATTAATAATTAATTATTAATAACTTGTTAATAAATTAATAATTAATTAATTACCGTAAGTACATGCAAGGTCCCGTCAGCTCTGGCTACAATGATATGCTTATCATCCAATCGGGATTGCCAACCCACTGGACATCATCATCATCATCATCATCATTCTCTCTCTCTCTCTCTCTCTCTCTCTCTCTCTCTCTCTCTCTCTCTCTCTCTCTCTCTCTCTCTCNTCTATCTATCTATCTATCTATCTATCTATCTATCTCTATCTATCTATCTATCTATCTCTCTATCTATCTATCTATCTCTATCTATCTATCTATCTATCTATCTATCTATCTATCTATCTATCTATCTCTCTATCTCTCTAACTGAGCGGAAGTGGGGTGAGATAGCACCATGGATAGAAACAGGAGATGGATCCCCGAAGCGGGCCTCTCTCTCTCTGAAGAGGGCCTCTCTCTCTCTCTCTCTCTCTCTCTCTCTCTCTCTCTCTCTCTCTCTCTCTCTCTCTCTCTCTCTCTCTCTCTCTCTCTCAATGGAAGCCTTTTCTTTCCCAGTGCACATGGATAGCGACAGGAGATAGTCCAGGTCTTCCTAAGCAATGGGCCTCTTTAGAGAACATAATCACAGTTGGCACTGGGGAAGAAAATGAGTTTCTGTATGCCCAGCCCCATTGCTTAGGAAGACCTGGATTCTCATCTGAGATACCGCCTGCTGTGACATTGGTGAATTTTTATCAGAAGAGGGACTCTGCCAATGGCAGCCTTTTCTTTTCTCTCTTTCTTTTTCAAAAAAAATGGACCATTTCTTGATTTGTGTGTGCCGTCCTTGCATGGGGGCCAGGCTTACAGCCGCCTGGATGGACACCTCCCTTCTCAATGCTCATTCAGAATAGCACGGAAAAAGAAAACGTAAAAAACGAAACAAAACAAAAATCAGGAACTTTGGCAACTACAAAGAATCTCAGACTTTGTGGAAACCTGGGCACAAAATTTGTCCGAAGATTGTGAAAACCTGGACACAAACTTTGGAAACCTGGACACAAATTTTGTGAAACCTCGGCACAAACCTGGACACAAACTTTGGAAACCTGGGTACAGACCTGGACAACTTTGCAAACCTGGGCACAAACCTGGAACTAAAACTGGAAACTAAAACTGGAACTAAAACTGGAAACTAAAACTGGAACTAAAACTGTAACTAAAACTGGAACTAAAACTGGAAACTAAACCTGGACACAAAGTTTGCAAACTAAACCCGGAACTAAACCTGGAACTAAACCTGGAACTAAACCTGGAACTAAACCTGGAACAAAACCTGGAACTTAAGCTGGAAACTAAACCTGGACACAAAGTTTGGAAACCTGGGTACAAATCTGAACACAAACCTGGACACAAACCTGGGCACAAACCTGAATGCAAACCTGGACACAAACTTTGGGGACCTGGACACAAACTTTCGAAACGAGGGTACAAACCTGGACACAAACTTTTCAAACCTGGGCACAAACCTGGAACTAAAACTTGGAACCAAACCTGGAAACTAAACCTGGAACTAAACCTGGACAGAAATTTTAGGAACCTGGACACAAACTTTGGAAACCAGGGTACAAACCTGGACACAAAGTTTTGGGACCTGGACACAAACTTTGGAAACCAGGGTATAAACCTGGACACAAACTTTGCAAACCTGGGCCCAAACCTGGAACTAAGACTTGGAACCAAACCTGGAAACTAAACCTGGAACTAAACCTGGATACAAAGTTTGGAAACCTGGTCACAAACCCGAACACAAACCTGGACAAAAACTTTGGCAACCTTGCACAAACCTGGGCCCAGGTTTGTGTTCAGGTTTGTGTTCTGGTTTGTGGCCCAAGTTCGTGCCCCAGGTTTGTGCCCAGGTTTGTGGCCCAGGTTTGTGGCCCAGGTTTGTGCCCAGGTTTGTGTTGAGATTCGCCCAGGTTTGTGTTCAATCTGGGCAAACCTGGCAAAGTTCGAAAGCCAGATTGTACTGTATCAAATTTGACTTGCCGCCGGCTGGGACGGGACCATATTTTTTTGTTTCTTTGTTTAATAGGCGTTGGCCTTGAGATTTGTCCATCGATCCACTAGCCCCCCCAGATAATTCCGGGTTATTTAGAGTTGTTTACACACCCATGCCAGGACAAGATCGCAAAGGGCGCTCATTTACGTATGCAGAAAAAAAGGTGGCCTGAAAGAAAAACTCACACTTAGTCGTCTGGTATCCGAAACCAGGCATATACGTCCCCGCAGTAGATGCTGACGACGACACGGGGTAAACCCCTCCTGCGGCAAGCGATGGCTCATCTGTATAAAGAGCAGAGACTACAAGGAGGGAGGCCACAGGTCACAGGTCACAGATCAGATCACAGCTACATGTCAGAGAAAACAAGCCTATGAAGGTAACACACATGTGCAAAACGGTCTGTTTCACAAACTTTCACTCCAACCCTTGAGGCTGAACGCTACACAGATTTACGTGTGCCTGAACAGATCATGAGTTCAAATCCATCTCCTGATATGATCAGATAAATACAGTAATGACGGGGGCTACACATTATTGCGAGGCTACGCCCGCTTAGCCCCTACGGGCCCTTATTTGCAGCAAGGTCGGCCGCCCTAAGTGAAGGCAGGCACGACAGGCCCTCAGGGCCTCGATTTTCAGGGTACCCCGCCACTGGGGAAATTCAGGCAGTTGCGCAGCGCCAGTTGGTTGAATGAACTCAGGCCCTGGGACCGCCTGTGTGAATGAATATAACGCAGGCCCTGGGCTGGATACGGGTACCGGGCCAAGTACAGGCCGAAAGCAGTTGGGCACATGCAACCACTTCAGGCCCAAGGCCTGCGTTACTCGTGACTGGGCCTCAGGCTACCGGGGCCTACTGGAAGCTTCCTGGACTGGACGCAGGCAGGCCACTTCGATATAGGGAAGGGCCTGCCTCCTCATTCGGCATTCGGGTGCTGGCTGCATGCTGCGCAAGCGCTGCTGCTGCGCTATTTGCTGGCTGGCACCTACGCTCTCACGGGCGAGCAGGGAAGGAGCACGCAGCCATAGCCAAGCTGCGCTGCTGTATGCTGGGTGGAGCGCAGGGTGGTCCTTGGGTGCTAGTGGCATCTGTGAGTTGGGGAACGAGGTTGTGAGGGTAGCGCAAGACATATCTGGTGCTGAAGCGTGCGACATTGGTCACCATATGCTCGTACTTCGGGAACGCTGTTGATATCATCATTCTGCTTCGTAGTATAGGCTAGATAGGATCTGCCACATGTAGTCTGGGCGCCGGGCGCCAATAGGATATCAACTCTGGTTCTTCGCTGATGATGATGGGACTACTTCAGCATTGTCAATGATGAACTCTTGGTGTGTTCTTATTTGGTGTATCTCGTGATGCAATTCTGCGTTTGGTTCGAGGTCAAGACTATCTGGACTCATATGTATGATGCTGTTTGATTGTTGGAATTCGCTATCACTCATCTTCCCTGCAATTTGGTATCGGAGCTGTGGTACGATTGCGCTCATCTGGCGCTTGTCTTCTGCCTTATGCGGTACATACATGCGGTCTGCTGGGCGAGTTTGACCGTAAAGTGGTGTGTAGTGAGGAGGGTGGAGACGAGTGTGAAGGCGAACCGGGTGGTGAGGGGCATCGCCTGGAAGGCTAAGGTGTAAATATTGGGTGTTCGCAGTGTGATGAGAACTATCTGTTGGGTGATTGAGGCTGAGGTGGAACGGCGAAATGCTGGTTGTGCCGATGTTGTGACTGGTCATCACAATCATCTTCAGGACATCTGGTGAGACTATCTCTGTGGTTGGGGGCAGCATGAACAAGGTACGTTGCTCTTAACCTTACCTACCCTCTTCATCACTTCTTACCGTGAGGTTGTGACTTCTGTCTTGAGAGTCCTCTCATCGTGAGGTGTCGTGTGCGCTCAACCTTGAGAGTCGTGATTGTTCACGTGAAGCATCTGGGGGAAGACGGGCGGAGCTTCTTGAAGGGCCCTGGACGAAGCACTGGGTCACGGTCACCATGCCAACCCACTGGGTGTAGTACACGCATGCTTCACTGCACGTCATTGGTTCTGCTGCTTGCGCATGATAGGGGTTAACTCGAGTGTGGCAGCCTCTACAGACGCTTACCAGACCGTCTATAAACATTTCTGGCTGGGGACTCGGCTCTGATCTGGCTGTGATCGTCGTCCTGCTGCGACGTAAAATAATTCCTGATGTCACTTGGGGGCGGACGTTAAATTGCCTCTTGATCAGCCAGATCATCCGAGTGGAAGGCTCGTCGGCGTACGAGGGTAAATAAGAGTGCTGTGGCTGCCTTGC